CAGTAATTACATAGATATTGTTATGAAACGAAACACTGTATAGTATTGTAAAGTTTTGATGAATTATTGACACCATTGTTTGGGTTTTTGAGTTATAATGTAACAGAAAAGAAGCAGAAGAACAAGAAATTCAAACCTTTTGCTGTGATATTTACTGACATTCCTAGAACTTGACTCAGTCATTACATAGATATTGTTATAAAAAGAAACACTGTATAGTATTGTAAAGTTTTGATGAATTATTGACACCATTGTTTGGGTTTTTGAGTTATAATGTAACAGAAAAGAAGCAGAAGAACAAGAAATCCAAACCTTTTATACGATATTTACTGACATTCCTAGAACTTGACTCAGTCATTACAGAGATATTGTTATAAAAAGAAACACTGTATAGTATTGTAAAGTTTTGATGAATTATTGAGGAGATATTTAATATACCATTTCGATGAACAATTCGAGCCATCCCTACACAGGCAGTGCTGCCACCTGCCTGATATTTTATCATGGACATTTTCATCTTAGGATTATTTGTTTTTCAGTTCCTAGCTTTTCGTGTTCAACTGTTTTCACAGTTAATAGGATACTTTTGGTTGTATATACACAATATGTTGCAGATGTAATAGACCAACCAGTTTCTAAACAGTTCGTGACAGACTGACTACATGCACATCTAATAGTAATGTATTTTTGTGGGCACATTGCAGTGGTATTAATTCTTGTCTGTTGTAAGTAACAGGAATAAAGATATTACATAGCCCTTTTAATGATGTAGTTGAAGCTATTATTGTGCTAGTTCAGTGGAGGAAAGTGTAGCTTAAAGTTAGTAGATGTAGTTTTATGGGCGAGACGAGTACTTATATTCGGTGTGATAACCGAAAGGATGATTTAACTAACTCTGTGTTAGATAACGAAATAGCACTGATTAAATCTTCATTGAAACGAGACTTTAAGCAGCTGATCATGTGGAGCTTAAATAACTGAAAAGTAATTTAATAATCGCCTTATTTGCCCAAAAAATGTAAAATGGTTTAAGATGTTTACAATACTGAGTGGGAGTGGTAAATTGCAGAATGTTTTCAATACCGATATAGACATATAAGTTGGAATTATTATTTTTTTATTTGAAGACTAGCATATATTTGACTTTATTGCCCTACACTTTCTACCCTCAATAGGTTCACTTACCCGACCAAATTTCCGAACTTTAGTTTATTGTAGTCTGTTGGTGGAGGCAAGATTCCACGGTCTCGTCCTTCTATATCTCATATTTAAGAAATAGCATAGTAGCATTTGATACGTGTGGGAGAGGGATAATTAAGATAATTAATAAAACCTTATAATAAAAACTTCTCAAAAATAAATTTATTGTGTTGTGAAATCGAATTATTTTTTTAAGCTTTCATTGGCTAGCTTCCCATAGGTTATATCCTTGATTTAAAACAGCTGTGTCTGATTTAACTTAGGATACACCATTGTTCAAATCTCACAAAGTCAATAAATGTACAATAACAACTGTATCTTTCGTCTACACTGAGACTAATCACTCCCAAATATTTATAACAGGGCATGCCTAAAAGTTTGAAATCCCGAAGAAGTACGTTTTTTTTTCAGTTTACCCACTGTTGTATAGTTGAAATTAAGGAGAGCCATCATTTGACATCATATTTTTCCAAACTGCTTCAAACAAGATCAATCAAATAACAGAGGTTCGAGGACTCGCTATACGGAGGAACAAGTCTTCATTGGATAAAGGAGATAATACTTTATTTAAAAAGGCACAGATGAAATAAGAGGACTATTAGGTAGAAATGAAAAAAGTTGGGTAAAGAAACAAAGCAGAACTAAAACTGTATTTTCTGAAAATAAAAGCTGTAATTGAATCCAATTGCTCTTGACATCTATCCAACCTAAACATTGTTTTAGTACGTTATAAATTAAGTGGATCACGAACAGTTAGCAGAATGAACTCTTATTTTAAACAAGGAAATAGAAGCGAGACTTCACCAGCAAGACAGTCGTAGAATATCCTCACTCTCAGGGTGATGCTGTATACAACTATACAATGAAATAGCAGATAACATCCATGATAAACTCATGCTATAGAGAGTAGCATTTAAGGCTAAGTTAGCATACAAGTGAAACCAGATGTATCGTGTTTCGAACTAGAATTCCAAGAACATAAAAAATATTATTACATTAAAGATATATAAGAGAAATAGAGACATTTGATATTATTTGTATAACACAAATCTGTGTACTTCCAGAAAGGGTACACCTGAAATTGAAGTATAAATAAAGTAATTTACAAATCTGTCTGCTAATATACTAAATTTTAGTGCTATGGTGCTTTAAAATCAAAATATAATTACTTTGGGATGAAAACTGTGTATTTTTAAATCTAATCCAAATTATACTACGTTAGTTTGTGAAAGTTGTGGTATAATTTATCAAGGTTTTTAAAATACACACATAACATGTTTAGGAGTTTTTTGGAAGAACATAATCCTTAAAAAACTTGCGAGTCAGTTTTTCGATATTCTTTATTTCTTTATTTATGTAGACATGTTTTTTGAAATCACATGCGACAGAATGACAAATAAAATGGACGAGACGAAATAATCTAAGAAACAAGATCCCTAACTTGAGTGGTACAGGCTTGTACTAACGGTTGGCGTGCCGAAATGTGAATCAGAAGATTCACTGGTTCGCATCTCTTAGCCACAAAATCGTACTCCCACTTTGAGGAACTTGGGCTTGTTGTACGAGTGATGGTAAAATCCCAGTGCTTCATCAAAGTAGTCCAGAAGTTGATAATGACCACTACTGGCTAGCTTCGTTCCCTGTAGTTCATCAATTCAAAATTACGGACAGACAGCTCTTGTGTAAGTTTGCGCAAATATCGAAAACAAGCAATTTACGAACTTGAGAAAACATTGTTAGTACAAACAACTTAATTAAGTAAGAATCGCGATGAATCATTCCCTTGCGCGTAAAAGTGGAACAAGTTGTCATGCGCTAACACGACCATTTGTACTGAGGACAAGTTACACATTACTATTTTTCCCTCTTTGAGCTGCTATGAGGACTGAAACTACGTATATAAATCGTTAATTTTTCGAAATATACGAACACATTCAGAATTATAAAAACAATTTGTAAAAGTTGAAAAAAAATTATTATATGTTGAAAATTTTCACATTTCTTATTTTTTTTCCCTTGAGATGAAACTGTTTTTGTATTTAATTATTTACCGAGTGTTCTCTCAGCTAATAAGAATAGCCAGAAGAAACTAAAAGGTCATTTAATAGAGCGTACACCACCGCCACGCAGCGTTGATCATATTCGGCTCTCCAAAAATAGTAAAGTGTGTCCGTATGTCCGTCGTTATCAACGGATAGGGCCTATTTTTGGCAGGACATTGAGGAATAATAATCTACAGATGTTTACCAAGTTTCATCAAAATTCATTTTTGACTGACTTATAGAACAAAAAATAGTGTGGGAAAATTGGTTCCAATGTTAACAAATAGTGATTTTTTTTATTATTTTCGTAACTTGCTGTGACTCTGACCCACCAAAAAACTAATTACTTCTAAGTTGGATCATAGTCTAAATCCATTCAGCGTTTTCGGGAAATCATGAAAAAGAGCCAATAGAATTGCTTTAGTAGCATACTATAAGAAAGCTTGATGAAAGCACTTGCTTATGACATAAGACTGTTGGCTGCTTCAAGAGTAAGTATAAGCTGTGGTGAAAATGTGTGCACATTTTGAACTGCTTGGGGTATACTGGTCAGATGCTATAAAAGAATGGTTACATTAATCAGATGTTATAGTAAAACTGTCATTGAATGATTGAAAGGAATGTTGAAAAGCCGATAATATTTTTCAGATTATCATTTCAATATTTGTATGTAGAACATGAAATATGATGTATTTTTTTCTATTATGTCTTATTCAGGGTTACGTAGGGTAGCGGCAGATCCTCCCTCCTTATTGCATAGCTTTCCCTCAGTAGCCCTATCTTATATGTAGTCTTCTAATTTTTTTTAAATTCTCTACTTCGTGACTTTCACTGAAATGGGAGTGTTAATTTTTTTCTGACCCCAAACTATCTCTTTGTTCCCTTATGCCTCCCCTCCCCAATAACAAATCTTAGAAAACGCCACTGTTCTTATGCACAAACAGGATCTACATACATCGTAGTCCCTCGTTGGATCAGTGGTAAGTTTACGAACTTACAACACTAAAATTCGGGGTTCGATTCCTACCCGATGGACAGAGTGAAGATATGCTCATTGTGTAGCTTTCCAGTAAGGCAACTTATATATATATATATATAATCTTTTTGTTTTGATATGAAATAATTAGCATCTATAATTTTCCTGACTTAATTCGTATTAAACAAGATATTTTTTTATATACCATGATTTACTTTCTGCACAAATGACAGGCCTAAACTACAGGAAATGTACAGACAATCTTTCTGTTATAGTTCTTCGCTCAGATATTAGGTGGCAGCACCAAAGCAGTCTTTGTAGAACACGTTATTTGCAATGGAAAACCATACGAGCGCAGATTCTGTAACAGCGTCAGCCCACGAAAGACGGCGATGTGGAATGATAAGCGATCACTCAGCATTCAGCTATAGTTGACAGTAGCTCTTTATACGAAGCATGTTTTAAAGGTAATGTGGTTCGAGAGTACACAGTATACTTAAGGCAAAACAGACACTTCAGTTGGTCCTAATTAATTTCACTGGTGTTAGCTACAACTCCTATTGGTCGTTATTTTGTCTCGTTTCTTTTTTTTGACAACATTGGCGTAGCATTACGAGTTGAAGGTAAAAATGATGTGATTTAGAAACTTAAAACGTTTGCGATGTTGAAGAAATTGTGGATTCTGATGAAGAAGTACAACTAATCAGCTATAAGGAAATGTATTAACTTTGAGTTGTTGCCGAGGAAATATAAAGTTGATGAGATGGATTTGAGAATCTCATGCCAGATAATAACACTGTTTGCTTGCGTGTGGACTCTAAACGCAGGTAAGAAATTCGTTAAAGTTTTAAGTTGTATGCCACATGGGATTTTGATTAT